TGTTTTAAACGATTTAAAGAGAATAACCCACCGTATGTCTACATTGCGCTAGAGAAAATGGCAAGCATTTTGAGCAGTTCCTTCAAAGTAAAAGTCTATTACGCTTTTAATATCAAGATTAAGTTTATGTTTAGTTTATTATCCGTTAGTGTATAAAATTGTTCACAGCGTACTTAGACTTAGCTTTTCCAAATGCATGTGACTGTAATATGCTATAACAAAGTCAAGACCTACTGATACTATAATATTAATACACACTATGATAATACGTAGGTATACGGACATTTTGAGAACTAATGAATTTTCGATTTATTATTCAAAAGATATATCATGTGTGTTTGTGCAAAGCTTATAAAATTTTCAGTCAAACGAGAAAAAATATACAGGAATCCCATTAAAATTACTAAATTTGATTCATAGCTAATAACTGACAGCTCACAACAAAAATTTGACTACGCCACTGTATTCTAGGTAAGAAACTGTATTTGTGCCAGTTTTTAGCTCTGCGATATTTATTTATTTATTTATTATTTATTTATTTATTTATTTATTTATTTATTATTCATTCATTCATTCATTCATTTATTTATTTATTTATTTATTTATTTATTTATTTATTTATTTATTTATTTATTTATTTATTTGCAACAGGTGAAACCCAATTACAGGAAATGCTGAAAAAATAACAATTAAAGAGACATGGTTATTGGACCTAAATCTATAGTATCACACATTCTAAATAGGATTGGATGATCTATAGCAGTCAATAATCTAAATCTATAGCATCACACACTCTAAATAAGATTAGATGATCTATAGCAGTTAATAATCGATGCACAACTGTCACTGTAAATATCACACGATTCAGTAACACTGTTCATGACGCAGCACATGAGATTAATTGGCGATTTTGTCATAACATTTGTACGACCAGCTTGACAATAGAATGCCGTTTCTTGTCGACTCCCTAGCCTTGGATCGCGGAAACATATTTTTTCAAGTAAATTTTGACAGTCAATTTTATTGTGAATGTGGCCATACAAAAACGACAAAGCAAATATGTTTCGTCTTGTTGACAGTGAATCCAAGTTGAAAAACTCTAATAGGGCACTATGGTCACAACCTCTTTCTGGATAAGAACCTGTGCTTTTAAGGTGAAAATACTTTAAAGCTTTACGGTGAATGGCCTCAAGGATCACGATAGAATTTTGTTATATAGGAGACCAGATCAGAGTCGCATACTCCAACTTGCTCCTGACAAAAGTAAAAAATAGAGTCATTAATCTATCAACATTGGAGAAACCCTTCCAGTTTCTGATACAGAAAACCAAGTAGTCGAGTGGCAGCCGACGAGATATTGAGTATATGCTCAGTAAACGTTAGCTTGGTATCAAAAGTGACTCCATGGTCTCTATAAGAGGTGCATCTGTCTATAACCTGACCATTGATGTTATAATTATGATAAATTAAATAGCTAACCTTTCTTGTATAAGTCATAACATTGCATTTCGAAACATTCAGACTGAGACAGTTTCGTGAACACCATGACGAAATTAGAGCTAAATCATCTTGCAACATGACGCAATCCTCGATTGTCTTGACTGACGTGCAGATTTTAAGGTCATCAGCGAAAAACAAATGGAAACACTTCAGTTCAAAAGACAAGTCATTAATAAATATCAACAACAGTAATGGACCTAGATTTGACCCTTGAGGTACCCCGGACGTGGCCCGATAGTAACTCGACCTATGACCACCATATTCGACAAAAAACCTTCTATCCCTCAAATATGAATTCATGAGCGACAGCATTGCATCAGACATACCCACTGTTTTAAGCTTATCCAGAAGTGCATAATGATCAACTTGATCAAACGCCTTCTGAATATCTGTGTAGATGACATCAACTTGTCCCTGACCGACCAGTACTTCATAAATGTACTGAGTAATTAGAGCCAAGTTGGTGACCGTAGATCTGCCTCTCATAAAGCCATGCTGATTAATAGAGACTGCACCCCTGACCGAGCAGTAAACCGTTTCATAAGCGATGATCTCAAATAGCTTGCCGAAATTGCACAGGATTGCTATTTGGCGATAGTTGGAAGTATCAGAGATATCTCCACTTTTGTGAATAGGACATATTTTAAGAGGTCTTCCAGATATTTGGATATGTCTCTGATTTTAGAATTAAGTTGAATATGGAAGCCACCGGTTTCGCTAGTATATGAATGCAATCTTTAACGAAAAAACTTGGAAATACCATCACATCCAGACGTCATTTTGTTCTTTAATCTTTTCGAAGCCCTAATTCACTTATATTTTTTAAAGAAATGATATCGGTAGAATTATTTGTTGGAGGAGATGACCCTAGTAGACCAGACGGGATAAAAACTGTTGAAAAGAAGGTAGCAAAACTGTCCACTGTATCCTGAGGCGTATCGCAAACATTGCCGTTAAGCGTCATCCTTGGGGGGATTCTAGATTGCTGTTTTTTGATCTGGGCAAATGACCAGAATTTGCTAGGATCATTGACAATGGTATCCTCAACCAATTGGACGTAAGCGGAGTAGGCAACACTGATCTGGTTTTTAATGAGCTTCCTAAAATTACTGAACTGATCATAAGAAAACTTAGTACCGTCACGTTTCCAGTTCCTTCTTGCTATGTCCTTCTTCTTGATATTAAGTATAATTTCACGGGTGAACCATGGGGGATACGAAAACATTTTATTTTTACATTTAGGGCTATGGACCTCAAAGATGTTATTGATACCTGAATACAAGGCGGTACAAGCGACATCAACATTAACTGCACTGATCACCTCCGTCCAATTAACATCTTGCAAGACTGTGTACATTTCAGGAAAGTTAGCTTTGCGAAAGTTAAACCGTGGAGAATTAGCAAATGGGAATTTCGTTGGAGATCCGGATGTAATGAATTCCGTGATCAGTGCAGGATGATGAACGTCCTCTTTAACAGAAGGTGTATTATCTCAGAGGACTTCTATTTCGATATTTCCTAAAATTAAATCCAGTATTCGATTATTGATATTTGGAATATTATTAAAATTAGTTAAATCTAAAAACGAAATAAAGTTGCTCATTAATTGAGACTTCTGATCATTAACGTCACTGTTGAATGATGCGACATTAAAATCACCAGCAACAATTATTTTACAATTACTGAATGCATCGTTGATATGTTGAAGGATAACAGAGATATGAGGAGGGTCTCAAAAAGCAGTGTTTTCAATTTCGCACTGTATCACAGAAACGAAGGGGGCTATGAAAATGTTCATTATACCACCTGTTTTTTAACAAAAAAAAAACACCCGTAATATTATCGAAAACAGGACACCCTGTACAATTTTGGAACGAAGGAGAAAATATTTTCCCTTTAAGCCTGATTCTACTACAACATATCGAACTAGTACGACCTCAATGCTTATTTTTAAGTAAGTGATAGTTATCCTGAAAATCCAGATATCCCGAACAAAAGCCTCTCCAGTCTGGCAACCTCAGCCTTGCTCATAGCAGCAACATGTGGGATGAATACGAGACGATACATTTTATTTTTGGCGGGAATATTGTTACTTCCTTCTGGATTTCTATAGGAAATGCCGGGACAGAGTTAAAACGAGATTCCGACGAACGTTCGCCGAGATGAAAAACCTTTTTTAATTTCAAATAACGAGACTGCGCTTGCTGACGCTTTGTGTTCCGACCGTACGTGAAGGATACGTTGTAGCTTATAGCTGAAGGGTTCTCAAGGATAAAATGAAAGCGGATGCATCAAAAACCCGCGATGCAATCTAATACATTGAAACACTGCATCGGTAATTCAAGCTTTGAGTTTTTGAGTTGTTCAGTATTAAAACGCGATAAGGGATTGATGCAGAAGGTGGGTGTGATACGCCACTGTTTGGCAGTTAATCTAATTGGAAAATATCCTCTACACCAATCCAGTCACGACATCTTCATGTGGCGTTTCACAGGGTTCTGAGCTCGGTCCACTTTTAGCCTTAATATACATAAATGATCTTCATAATTAATTGTAATATACTAAGTGACATATACATCCGAACACCCAGTTTAATGGTTTTATTTCAATAAAATTTTGTATCCTCTTAACTGCTACTAGCGATTTACACTACCTGCCTGCCGGTGCACCCCAAAATTGCCGCTTGCGAATATATCCGTCATACGCATACTAAAAGTCAAAAGTAGTAAAATATTATCTATTTTAGAACTATCAATATGTTTTGATAGTAAAAACACTTATTTATTGATTCAAGACATATTTTCAAGTATTTTATTTTACACACAAAAATCGTTTTTCGCGGATATATACGTCATATACTGAGCATACATTTTTGATTTGATTTTACTCAAAAATACCACATAATAAGGCAATAAATCATTCAATTTATTTAACGAAAGGAACATAAACATTTAGTACAAACTCAAACATATTTATATGAGGCATAAAATATGTCCTGAAAACAATTATATTATTTTGGAAAAATAAAAAATATAAACAAACTCAAAAATATCTAAACTCAAATTTATAACGTAAATAACGCAAAAAATATAAGAGAAAAACGCCTTGAATATTTCACGGTTTCTCCGTATGGAACAAGCCAAAACAAGGTGCCGGACATAAACCGGTTCTGCATTCTAAGCACCACTACCTAGACTCCTTTCTAATTTTTTTTTCATAGCAAATGTGACACATTTTTGTTGGCTTCTCCTTATTTCCTTGGGGGGTTAATTATCGATGGAAAATGGCGCTCTACAAAGCGAGATACGTTATATGATCTGGCACGTCGAAGCTGTTGAGCAACAGGTACACTATATTTCTGAATCAACTTTTCCCCGAGCTCCATGACAAAGTTTAATATTGTTTTTTGACCACCACTTTGTTTGTACAAAATATAGGAGTTTAAAATTGCAATATTCAATAAATGGAAAAACATTTTGTTATAATATTTTTTTAAATGAGTTCTATCGAGGGAATAGAAATGCAGAAAATTATCTGATAAATCCACCCCACCCATATCTTTATTATAAGATAAAACAACAGCTGGTTTTTGTATTTTTTTGCCACGCTTCTCTATTTCAACCATTCTATTGTCATGAAGAGTGCTAATCGTAGTGATATCTTTTTTATCCTTCCATTTTATGATCGTCACTTTTTTTTGAACATAGCCACAGACTCCCCTTTTTCTATTTTTTTTGTTTTTATGTCTTGCGGAATTCCCTTCCGATTAATCCGCATAGTTCCGACGCAATCGGTTCTCCGTTTTGTTAGTTCTTCGACTAAATGTGGGCTAGTGTAAAAATTGTCCAAAAACAAACAGTGTCCCTTATTGAGTAGACTATCACATAGTGACAATACAATTCGTGCAGCGATAGGCTGCTCAATATACTTATGGCCATAATTTGTGTCAGCCCCTGTATAAACAAAAAAATTATAGACATACCCTGTAGAACTTTCGCATAGCATATAGAACTTTACCCCAAAACGTTTCCTTTTTGAGGGAATATACTGCTTCCAGGACAAGCGTCCTTTCCACTCCATCAACGATTCGTCAACAGATATGTTTTTTCCCGGGATATACACACTCCTAAACTAATTTTGTAAATGGTCAATGATAGGCTTTATTTTATACAATTTTCGTACGTGAGGATCGTTGTCGAGAAAATTGTTGTCAGCAAAATGTATAAACTTATGAATAAGGCGAAATCTATATTCCCGCATGGTTTTCACGAAAAATGGCGTTTCGATAGGTACTCTCGCGAGCCGAAAAATACATATCAAAAGAAGGTTTTGAACAGACGCTCTGCAAAACGGTAAGACCGAGAAAAGTTCGAATTTCATTGGGACTGGTGTTTTTCCACTTGCGGACTCGTGACTTCGGCTTCAATTTTTGTCCATGGTGAACGATAAACTGAGTAGCATATCTAAAATAAATAAGTTTTATCTTAATAAATATGAACATGTAAACTTATGCTAACTGTATACCTGTTCGTTTCTTCGGAGATTAGGTTTATTATACTGTCGTCGAAAAACAGCTCAAATATATCTACCGGGTCTTGTATATTTATTGGAACTTGTGCCCCTTCTCTATCTGTATATGGGAACGGTGGCCGTGGAATTCCATTCTCAACCCACGGGACATCTAAAGGTTCAATCGGTTCGCTATTTGCTTCCTCTTCGTCTTCAGACAAACTGAATTCGATATCAGAACCGTCCTCACATGAATTCTCATAATCACTATCCTCTAAATCACTCTGGGTACTACTGTCGGAGTCATCTAACTCTTCCGAGTAAAACAAATCAGTCGATTCTGCTTTCCTTTTTGCCATTGTAAACAACGAAATGCCCGCCGGCTATCCACTACACGCTTCATGCGCGCTCTGATCTAAAAATAGACTGAAAATTGTGTAGCAATCGTGATGGCCGGCAGTGAAAAGGGTGGGGAATCGTAATATCTATCGAAGGCGAGTATATTCGTCAAATCCACGGAGAGGACCACCTAAAACTGTCGTGCGAGTATATCCGTCATAAGCACGAAACCTAACTTTTTAAGATGCGGATATATTCGTCATAAGCAGTTAAGAGGATAAGTACTTAATGAAGCATAATAAGTAAATGATAAAAATTTCAAAATGATTGCACTGCTTTAAAGCCCTTTGACCTTTAATAATGTGTGGATGCACCCTGATGTGCTACCCAAAGCGCCTAGGCATGCTTCTGATCAGGTGGTCAATGTCGTCCTGTGGTATCTCATTCCAGGCAACCACCAACTCCTCTCGAAGTGCTTCTAGAGTCTGAGGAGGACGTTGCAAATTGAGCAATCTCCTACCCATCATATCCCACACGTGCTCGATTGGGGATAAGTAGGGAGATCTTGGAGGCTATGGTAACAATGTGACATCATTATGTTGAAAGAAGTCTATTGTGACTCTTGCAACATGTGGTCGGGCATTATCTTGTTGGAAAGTTGGATCTGCCAGGGTGTCAAGATAGGGTAAAAGATGGGGTTCTAGAACTTCGTGGATATAATGCTGCGCGTTCATGTTACCTCTGATGAAGATTAAAGGTGACCTGGAACCATAAGCTATAGCACCCCAAACCATAACTCCAACAGTGTGATGAACATGTCCTTCAACAAAAAACTGTGGATTCCTCCTTTCACTACGTCGCCTTCTAACCCTGGCACAACCATCGTGCATGCCTAAACAAAATCGAGACTCGTCACTAAAGACAATACTGTTCCATTCCTGATCCCAGAGTGACCGTTGTCTGCACCACTCAAGGCTATTACGTCAGTGTTCTCGAGTTAAAGGGAGGACCCAGTGTGGCCGGTATGAAAACAAGCCAAAACTTCTCATTCGTCGGTAAACACTTCGCATGCCAATAGGTCTTCCGTGTTCTGCAAACCATTCATTTGCAATGGACCTGGTAGTGGAGAAACGGTCCCTTAAGGCCAATAATCTTAGGCGGCGATCTTCACGGTCTGTTGTACTACGGCGGCGTCCAGTGCCCCTTGCTCTTTGCGTACGGCCTTCTCGAAGCCATGCCTGACAACACCTAACCACAGTGTCTACACTTCTTTACACTCTAACTGCAATTGCCCGAAAAGAAAGTCCAGCTTCCCGAAGTCCCACTATACGGCCCTATCAAACTCACTAAGTTGACGAAATCGTACAGGTCGCCGTACTCCAGGCATCGTAACCGATCGTAAAGGATGTCAAGAACCAAAATCCGCCAACGTTGATTCTTTACTGCGGCTGAAATATTCATTTTTAGAGCGTTAGTGAATTAAAAAAAAAGCAGTATAAAAACCGGAATGTCCAACTGATAAGACTGAAAATTTTTTCACTTGTTATTTACAGTAAGATAAATACATTCACCAACTTTTATTAAAATAAAACCATTTAAACTGGATGTTCGGATTTATATGTCAGTATACAAAGAAAATCCTTATACTGTTTGCGGATAACACAACAATGCTATTTAGTAACAGATCGATTTCCTTATCCATAAAGCTTTTTATACCATCGAAGAGATTTTAAGTAATAACTTTTACTCTGTTAATTTATTCGATGTGCTTGTTCTATAGTTTTGTAGTCATTTAAAATTCATAATATAATTTGACAGTTTTTCTGTTAACTTTGTTTTCTCCAACAAATTTTATTGTTTTGTTGATTTACACTTTGGTATTTTAACTTTAATCCTTACCTGTGTATGCACGCAAGTGTATGAAGCACAAATAAAAAAATGAAATGAAATTGTGTTGTAGGTTCTAAACTGTGATAAGTATACTGCTTCCAATTCTTACGATAGAGCAGAACACAAAATTAATCGTATACATGAAAGAGAATAGATGTCTAAATCATCAGAAATTTTTCTCCTATTGAGAAGAATTCGGTGAAACTCGGGCCATGCCAAAATATTCAATGCGCAGTTCCGTAAATGATTTTTTTTTAAATATGCCGCTTTCACTGCGCGCACTGCTGACAAGAACGTTCGCCTTGTCGCGTGTATTTTCCAGGATAAAAATCTCTGAGCCGTCTAGCCGTGCCGCAGTAAGTCTTGTCTATAAGAGACACTCCCTGTGCCTCAGATGAAATAAAGATAAGAAAAATTCGACGCGTTACTGGATCAAGCGGTCCACGGCATGAGGAATCCCCTAAAAACGGCTGATAGCGAATTTTTTGGGCGTAAAAACCAGCGAAAGGGAAAATCTTATCTAGTCCGTGTGAATCCGTCCGCGCGTTGGGGTATAATGGCACAAAAATATTACATAGAGGGATGTAACTTTCATCTGAAAGTTTAGCTAGAAGTCCGTCCCTACAGTGTTAGCAGCTCCACAGAAACAACCTAAAAATAAACTCTACTAGATCGACTTATTACCTCTTACACAATGTATATAAATATGTTTAAGATTTTGTATGCACGTGAGTTGTGTGCGTCATTAACGATAAAAGAAAAATAATATGAAAGGTAGCTTCTTTCTAAGCCGTTGAGTGCTCTAAACTAAATTTTTTGTGTTGGGTTTTTAAAAAACTATAATTTTAAAGGTCTAAAGATGAATTTAATTCTGTTCACAGTGCGTGTCGCGGCCTGGAATGTTTGCGTGTCTCCTCGACTGTGTGATCCACTGTTTCACACAACAAATGTGTTGCTGTGCGGTTTCGCTTGCTGGTAGTACCATTGTGCCATACCTATGATGTTAATCCCTAAGGTAGGGGATGTCAGGATCTCTATGGGTGGTGTCGTTTGATACATACAAGGCAGTATTGTATCAGTGTGATGTATTTGACTTACCGTGCATCTTCTTTAGAGATTGCACTAGCAGAGGACATGCATAGTCTCTATGACCTAATCTGTTAGTTCTATCGGTAGGCCGTGTGTTGTGCGTGACCTGCGGTCTGCTACAACGTCTCCTCATCTGTTTCAGTCTCTTGGAACGCCGGGTTGGTTCCCTTTACCTTGCACATTCTATCGATGTCGTTAAGCGATCATCGATAGAGGGTCTGCTAGGTTCTCTTGAAACTCTTGTTTTCGAAAAATCAAGAGTTTCAAGTCCTCTTACCTATATATTGTTCCTGGTCCTGGTCCTGAAGGGTCCTGGTCCTGGTTGGTCCTGGTCGTGGCGGGTCCTGGTCCTGGTTGGTCCTGGTCCTGGTGGGTCCTGATCCCGGCGGGTCCTGGTCCCGGTGGTTCCTGGTCCTCTGCATCCACGCCGGGGGGGCAGCAACCGCGGGTTTCTCCTAGTTTCCTAGTCAAGGTTCCAGTTAGCGGGTGCCAACTGGGACCTTGGTCTAGGGTACCTGGTTCTGCGGTTGCGAGGCCTCTCGTCCGGATCGTAGTCCATGAGGAATCGTAGCTGCTCGTTCGGGTGGTCCTGAGCTTTCTGGAAGGTCTTCTCCGCTTTTTTCCTCATGTACTCGTGAATGGTGTCCCAATGCAGGTCTCTACGCAAGGTTGAGTTTCTTACGTAGAATGGTGCACTGGTGGTGATCCGGAGCGAGCTGAGGTCTGGCGATGCCCTTGATCAGCCGTAGCTTGGTCGCTTGCCCCGACTAACGCCCTGTGTTTCTATAAATATGTCTTGTCTTGCATTACCCTTCTACACAGCCACAGTCAGTCAGTGAGTCAATAGTCAACGTAAGACCCAAAAAACCTGAATAAAAAATTTTTCGCATTCAAATTTTAAACCTCGTCACGCGACAAGACCAGTATGCCAATGCCGAGGACCGAGCACTGACCGACCAATCAGATGTCGTACTTCGCATTAGATCTGTACGGATCTGTATAATGTGCAGCACATGCTTATGCTTAAATCGCGCATTTGGTTTTGTAGTGAGAGACGAAAGCAAGCGCGTGCGGCTTGTGTCGAAGTAGTGCACAGACCCTTTTCAAGTGGCCCATGAATAATGTTACGCTGCGGTCGCGACGAAAATGACAAGTACACAATTGGTCGATTATAATGCTGCAAAACAGAATCGACGCCGTGTCTTGCGGGGACAGGCCGGTATTGTTTCTATTTGTGGGATAATATGCTGCTTTTTTCTGTTAAGACAAAAGTTTTGACAGTTCTGCAGCTCTGCAGAACTTAAGGGCCAGCCGCCCCTGCCTTGCGGTATGGCTAATGACATTGCAGAACAATGTGAGGTTTCGCCAGTTTTTTGCTTCCTTATCTACATTATGATATTTCGAAATGTTTGTAAATAGCATCTTTGTATTTGAACGAACTGCTCTCGTATTATAAAATAGTTATGTTTTTTTTATAGTCCGGACTGTGTCCTACTCAGGAAATTGCTGTTGCTGTTGAGTGTTGTATGAATGAATAAGTATCTTGAACATCATTATGCTAATCACGGCACCAGCGGGCGGCTGTTTCAGAATATGAAAACTGGTCAACTAGAAAGTTATTATTGGAGTTCAAACGCAAGAGAGAACTATAAAATCCAGATATTTGCCCTCTATCTCACAATAGATAGTTGCTCGAAAATATCACCAATTGCAGTCATTCATATGTAGATAACATTTTTCCATCTGAAAATTCGAAATCCAGGTTTAATCAAGACGAAAGAATTCGCCCCCCTTTCGTTCCAAAAGTAGTCGACGCCAGGCGCGGCACAAAAGGCTCGTCCTGGATTTATATGGATATCCTTTTCAGCGGCAATCCGTGACTCTGATCAAATAGTTTTATAAAAGGAAAAGGAAAAAATAACCAGGAAACGTTGGGGGACGCGCCGTTCCGGTGGCAGCGGGTAGACCGTACGAGGAAAGTGTTATCCAACACGTGAAAATTGGGATTTGTACACAATAGGAGTCGTTATGCCACGAAAATGGATTCAGGGCTGGTATCTGGGTATTACTTTAGTGGAATCCCAAGTCACTCGGAGCG